ATATTCTCACCTAGAAGACAATAGCTACGAGACCAGCCTGATGGTGAATCAGGATAGCAAGAAAGGGTCACCACTGATTTAGGTACTTTAGGTTTATTAACCGATAGTGAGTAGGGATCAAATTACTACATATCTGAATCTGCACCTGCCTTAAAATGAAAATGCAAAAATTTCTGACAAACATATCCAAAGAATTGGGGGAAGGGGGTCTGAAAGACTAGACTGCTTTGTCTTTACTTTCTTAAGAAGTACTTTAGCAAAGATTTCCCTTTGGGTTCTTGAGATTCCTTAAGTAGATTTTACATCTAACCATGGGGAAAGAAAATATGATTTTTTTTTTGGGGGGGGGGTCCGGTCGTGGGGTCTGAACTCTGGGCCTGGGCGCTGTCCCTCAGCTCTTCAGCTCAAGGCTAGCGCTCTACCACTTGCCATTTCTTGCTTTTTTCTGCTTATGTGGTGCTGAGGAATAGAACCCAGGGCCTCATGCGTGCGAGACAAGCATTCTACCACTGAGCCAACTTCCCAGCCCCAATATGATTGTTTTGTATATATCAGTTCCAGTGAGAGAGTAATTGTAGACCCTACTCTTCACACTTGCATACAAAAGGCCAAGAGAATACTTCCAGCCTTTTAGGTACACTTTAAATCCTACCTCCATAAAATCCTTCGTGTTAGAATAGACAAATCATTGTTTGTTTGGGACTTCAACTTCCCAGATCATACAAAGAATCTACTCAACTATAAAATGGCAAAGATATAAGAAATCTCTCTCTCATGTCCTTTTTGGAGAATTAAATGAGTCAATAAATGTCACATACTTAAAATGGAATCAGCCCATAGTAGATGTTGTTCATTTAAATATTACCCATAACAGGGATGAGAGAACTCATAAGAGAAGTTTGTCATTTAAAAAGAAAAAGAAGACATAAAGAATTTCAATGAAAGCTGTTGATCAGTAGGGGGTTGGAGGAATAGGGGAAAAGAAAGCAATAGAGAGGGCTGCTCTGATTAAAATTTAATAAGGGCACATCTAAATACCATGGTAAAACCCTTTGGCACAATTAACACACACGAAAGAAAAAAAGTGACAGGAAAGTAAAACAGGCTATGTTGAAAGGCAGGATTGTGGGAGACTAGGGGTAAACAGAAAAGTTTGAATGAAGGTGAGTAGGGCCAGAAAAGGGTAGGGGGCAAAGGAGAGGAATGGGACAAAGCCTACCAGTCTGGCTAGGACACATTGTAGGCATACACAGGCAGGGATGTCACAAAGAAACTCCTCCCTTGTCTAGTTAATATAAGCTAAAAAGAAAAACTGTGTGAAGGGGTGGCACTGGTCAAGATGCACTGTGTTCATAAGCTGCTTTATTATATGGTGCCTCCTTTGTACAACTACTTAAATATAATAAACAAATTATTTTAATTGGTGGAATAAAAAGCAAATCAAAAGCAAAAAATACAAAGCAGCGCTCCTGGGAAAGAAATACCTTTATCTCCACATACTACTACTAAAGGTTCACATAGTTATGCATTTAGGTAATGATATATGAACTCTTTACATATTCTATGGTGTATGTAAAGACAGAAAAAAGTTAAGACATACCCCCTACACTGAATGACTTACCACACAAACAAAAGTGATTGTATTACAACGAGAAAAGATAGCTTTTGAAAATATAAGGGAAAGCATCTAGATATTTAAGACAAATATTGTGAATCAGCTCAAGGTAATATATAGTCAATTAAAAGAGAAAAACCTAATGCAATCTTATAAGCCAACAATAACTAGAAACCATAATTTATAACAAGCTATTATTTTTAAAGCCTGCAAAAAGCGATAGCCTTATTAAATCCAATTAAATATATGTACCACCTCTAAGCAACATATTCCCAAGTATTATCAAAGAACACAAATGAGGGCTTCAGTATGTGAGAGGCATATCCTATGCACTTATAGGAAGATAATGTTGGTAACACAGTGATTCCCTTAAATGCAATGAAAATCTTATCATACATTTTGTGGAATTTAACCAACTAAACTAAAATTACTGTGGAAAAGTAAAATGCCAAGAACATCTTTCTTTACCTCCTATCAAGATATAAACTTACAGTAATTAAAGTATCATGGTTTCAGTATAGGTATAGATGAATCCAACTGAACAAAGTAAAAAAATCTGGAAATAAATTCATGCATATGTAAAAACTTGGAATGTGACAAATGGCATTATAAATCAATGGAAAAGGGATTCAGTAAACAGTCTAAGCCAACTGGCTACAAAATTGAAAAATATTTTTCTCCCCACTGGGTATCAGTGACTCATACTTGTAATCCCAGCAATTTAGGAGACTGAGATCCAGAAAAGTGACAGCAGAAAAACACATGAGACTCTGTCTCCAAAAGAATAAACAAAAAGCAGGACTAGAGGCAGGGCTCACATGGTAGATTGCCAGCTGAGCAAGTAAACTAAGCAAGTAAAAGGCTCTGAGTTCAACTAAAAAGTTTTCTTTTTTCCCCTTTTCTCTTTGCCTTGTCTTTTTTCTTCTCTCTTTCTTATTAGTATATTAATTGTGTAAAGAGAAAGGTAAATTAGATCTCTATCATATCATATAAAATGCACTTCAAAAGAAAACAGTAAATTCTCTTTAAGACATTGGAATTAAACATTTTTCTCAAAGCAAAACAATATAGCATAAAAGAAATTTCATTGCGTTACAATAAAAAGTATAACAAAAGACACAAAAAGTAAAACCATAAGCCATCAGTTGTAGGAAGATACTTGAAGCCTACCTAGCAGGCAAGGAATTTTTAATGTTAGTAATATAAAAACAACTACAAATAGTTTTTAAAAGGGGGGATGGAACGAAACTGCTGGCACCTCTATATGACGGAAGTGTCCTTCCTCCCCAGTCTTCCTCATACTACCCACTGTGTGATTTCAGCTACAACTGACCACCCCAGTACCCGACTGCCTGAAGCCTACATCTAGGGATTTTTTAATTAACAAAACAATTTTTTGAAGACTCTTTCCCTCTGAAAAATAAATCTGCAATTTAAACCTAAAATTCTTAATTAGGAAAAGGGAAGCTATTTTCTTCTACAAAGCTGGAAAGACACAGTACACAGCCTATACTATACTGCTTCTTCTCCAATACCTTAGTACTTTCCCTACATTTGGAAAAAGGCCAGCCTACAGGAGAATGATGAAGACACAGAGAAAACAAGTGGAACTTACACTCCTGTTCATCTATGTGTCAAGAATTCTTGTTTTCTTCCCTAACATGTACTGAAAGCTTGGTCCCCTGTGTGTGGTACTTTGGGGAAGCAGTAGAGGGTGGAATCTTCAGCAGGAGGTGGAGCCTAACAGAAGAGAGACCCTTTACTGCCTCTTTACTTCCTGCCCACCATAAGGTGAGTTGCCTCCTCTACCACAAGCTCTCACTGTGAAATACTGCCTCACCAAAAGCCAATGGCAAAGGGCCCCACGGAACCATGAGCCTCTGAGACCATGAACCAAAATAAAACCTTTCCTCCTTATAAGTTCATTTCCCTTAGGTATCTGTTATACAGATGGAGGGCTAACTAACACAACTAGAGTCAAAGTTCTCTAAATACTAAAGCTATTTAATAATGTCCTGAAATAGAATATTTAAGTAAATAAATTAGCCCTTAATAAAACCATAATATAAAAATCTGGAATCCTAAAAGTAATATAATTATATAAACAGAAACGCATGTTAGCAACCGATTGGTAGCTAAAAGCAAGCACATTCCAAAACATGATTCTCCAAATAAATGTATAAATGTATATAAATATGCATAATCATATCTATTCTGATTTCCAGATATTGATAATTCAGCACAAATATGCAGAAACCACCACTAAAACTGAAAAGTAAACTAATTTCTGTCAGACAACCTAAAGTCCTATTAAGTAAAAGGCTGGCAACAACCAATTCTTTTGCTTCTCCCAAAAAAGGGCCATTATTAACCTCTTTCCACCTGTCTATGGAAACTGACCACTGAGTGTAGGGAAAACCAAGTATTAATATAGGATAGTACAGTGCTTCTTACCCTTTGGTTACCACATTCCTTTAAAATGTCTTATAAAAGGTACTTGGCAAATTTCTTCTTGGAAAAGTGAACTAATTGGAACTACAGCATTTAACCTGTGTCTCCAATTCCCCTCAGTGTTTTGATCAGTGCTAGAACCAATGTAATTTGGTGAAACAAAGATAAAGGGCTTTGCATCATTTAGAGAAGAAAACAGTTCAAACACATTCTATCTACAGCTGGGGACTTCTGCAGTCCTCGTCTACTTGGAATGAGATGAAAGTAAGCATGTTATTAGTGCAGAATAGGCAGTAAGACAGTACAGCCTATATTTAGGGACCAAAATGTGTATTTCTATTCTTTATTCACCTGCTTGACACTCACCACTAATTGCAACCTTCTAGGAACTTTCGTTAATTCAAAAAGTAGAACTCAATGGACTTATGAGTCTAAAAGGTAGGTTGTGAACTTCTCTTGCTCAACCAAGGTATTTCTATGATTCTTTTTTTTAATCCATTTTCTTTATCAGTTGACATGAACAAAACAAAGCTAAAATGCAGGAATTCATTAAAAAAAACTGTGAGATACCTACTTTATAAATCTTCAGATTATTTGAATCATGTAGATTTCATCCTTTAAAATGAGGTTATCTTGTTCAGAAGCTAAAAAACACTTCTCATTAGCATTGCCACATGACTGAAGTATTGGGATTTTTCCTATTATACTTCTTGCCACTTACTACAAAGGAAGACAAGACATAAATAATAACCAACTACCATTTCAAAAATTGCAATTAGGAAAAAGTATCTTCTACAAAGATTTGGGAGTCCTAAGAGGACAGTTTATTGAGCTATATGCATTACAGGATTAAAAGGGAACAATAGAACAACCAAAAAAAAAAGTGTTTTTACATCTTAGCAGAAGTGGCCCTTCCCACAGGCTGTTCTCTTACCAGCATATCAGTGGCACTGAGATAGTGCTTGCTGGCCATGCACTGTTCCAACTTTTGAGGCACTTGCTTGATGTTCTCAATTTCATCCAACAGGTTCAAGACATACTTATGTTCAATGCCTTCAATCCACAGTTTCCGAAGTTCATCCCGTTTGCAGTGTAACAGCATTTTGCATGAAAGCAGATTCTCTTTCACCTACAATAAAGCAGATTTAGTTTTTGGGGTCAGTCTGCAATCTTACCAGCCTAAATCTACAATTTGCTTAGCATTCTTCATTGGCCCTACTGTATGTAACAGTCCTAATTCCCATCCCCATTTTCTTCCCTTCCTTGGTCTGCTCCCAAAATTCTAATTTTGTTTCTGGCACTGACTCCCTTAAATACATCTCTACCTCTCTGTGCCTGTATTTTCTCTCCCATGAAATAAGAAACTTGTTCCTAACATACCTTTGAGTGGGCCTACAAATAATTACTAAGTATATAAAGCATTTCACATAAATATTTAATAAATATAAAGCTCCAAATATAAAGCTTCACATAAAAGTTAGTACATCTAAAACAGGAACTATAGCTCTGAAAGTATAATGCTATTATTCTTTCCCCCAGTCCTCCTTGCACATGTCCTAGTCAACTGACAAACCATTTGGTCTATGCTTCTAGCTCTAGACCTCTAGGAAAAGTTGATAAGAAAAGATCAGAGCACTTTTCTCAACTAACTACAACAAAAATAACCCAATTACCTAAAAAGGGCACATTCAGAGTTATTTCAAAGTAAGAGGTATTTTTTCTGTGCATTTTGAACAATAAATATTAAATAAGACAATCTGGGCAGACAAATCTGCAAAACTCTTATCTCCAATTAACCAGTAAAAAGCCAGAAGTGGAGGTGTACCAGCATTGAGCAGAAAAAGCTAAGCAGGCGTAAGGCCCTAACTTCATATTCCAGTACTTGTAGTGGAGGGAGGTAGGAGAGAGAAAGGGAATACTTGGAGGGAAAAACTAAAACAATAAAAGACAGTTTCTCTGAATTATTTGAATTGGAAGTAAGAGTAGCACGAGATAAGGAAATCCTGGTTTTTATCATCATCTGTGATTTATTGGACTTTAAGTCTATCTCTCAAGAACATTCCTAGTTCCCAGTGGAGTTACTGATCTCTAGGTCAAGAATTCAGCTACTAAATTTAATACATTTTATTTTTTTCCCATCCTCCCCTTACCCCCTTACATTTTAAATCTTAGTTAAAATCTGTTAGAATTTGTTTTCTAGTATTGTACTTCTATCATCTCAGTACTATAATTCTCAGCATTTCCCTCTGTGTATGGTTACTATGAAAACAGCTAAAACTAAATTTTATGTCATACAACACCCAACTAGGCTGTTGATCAAGGAAACAACAGATAAACTTACAAAATTTCAGTAAAACTTGGCTAACTCTTGTATGACTGGCAAATGACAATTATGGAATTTCACACTAGCATAAGGAAGTAAGCTCACTTCTTATTTTTGCTCACTACAGAAAAGCAAAGTAAAAGTAAGGTAGAATTTTTTTGTGGAGGATACATTGGCATAGGCTATGGAGGAAATGAACATCATCAAAATTATTCCCTAAACTGAGATAACAAAGTTGCAGACAGGAGAAGCTACAACAATTTTTATTACTAAATTTCCCTGGGGTTTTATAATTTTTTATTAAAAGCCACAATTATGAAATGTTATTCTAAAACTTGGGAGATTGTGTCAACAACAGAAAAGAAACAAGGAATCGCAGAAATACTATGCTGAGTAAAAGAAGCTAGATACTCATGACATTAGAATCCAAATCAGTCATTACTTGAGCAGGCTATGGAAGAGACGTCATTGCAGGTAAAGAGCAGGAAGAGGCCAGGTACAGAAGTGAATCCCTTAGTTTCAGCATGAAGGAGGCTGAGGCAGGAGGGTCCCAAATGAGAGGCCAACATGTGGTATGTAGCAAGACTCTTTCTCAAAAAAAAAAAAAAAATGGAGGAAAGAACTCCCTAGGAAAAACTCCCTAGGTAAAAGAACTCAGTAGGTAAAAGAACTCCCTAGGTAAAACTCCCTAGGTAAAGACTCCCTATGATGGTAAAACATTCAAGGATATATACATTCACCAAAATTACTGAACTGCACTATATAATATGTTCATAATATTATATGTAATTTATACATCAATAAAAATAGGGATACAGGAATTATGGAAAATATTAAAATAGTATTATTATACAACCCAGTAATCCCACTACTGAGTATACAGACAATGGCCATCGTAACCTCATAGTAGGGAGGAAGTTGTTGTACACATTCAATAGAAATCATACTCCAAATCATATCACTTCGATCATTTCCGGGGCTAACAATATGCTGTTTGATAGTCTCTGAAGATGCTGCTCAGCAGCAGTGAGCGGCAGCTCTCATTGCACCTAATCACAAAGGGAAACACCAGATCCTTCTAGTACACTGCATTGCTAAGCTAGGATGCTTGACAGGATGTATGAAATGAGTCCATTTCTGGTGTTTTCAATTTATGATGGGAGTATCAGGATGTAACCCTATCATAAATTGAGAAATGTCTGGATATCCAAAGGAAATGTATCTGTATGTCAAAGAGACAGCTGCTCTCCCATGTCCACTGCAGTCCTATCCTCAATAGCCTAAATAGAGAATTAATCTAAAGTGGTTATCAACAGAAGAAAATAAAATGTCAGAGAATATAAAATGGTAGTTACGGAGGGACAGAACTAGAGAAATGTTGGTCAAAGAATACAAGTTAAGATTAATAAGAGAAATAGCTTTGAGAAAAAACATTGCAGAACATATGGACTAAAGTGAATAAGAATATATGGTAGCCAGACACCAGTGACTCACGCCTGTAATTCTAGGTACTCTGTAAACTGAAATCTGAAGGTTGCGGTTCAAAGCCAGCCGGAGCAGAAAAGTCCATGAAACTCATCTCCAATTAAACAGCAAAAAAGCCAAAAGTGCAACTGTGGCTCAAGTGGCAGAATGCTAGTCTTGAACACAAAAAGCCCAGGGACTGTCCCAGGCCCAGAGTTTAAGCCCCAGGATCATGACCAAAAAAAAAAGTATGGTACATTTAAATATTACTAAGAGATAAGAAATAGAAAATATATAAGGAAACAAATACATTAGAGTGATTTAGCTGCTATGTAAGCATTCTATGATGTATAAATTTTTCTAAAAGCCGTGTTTCATGCTATATAGCTATATGCTTTTGTTAATTAACAAAATTTCAAATAAAAATTCATAAAGTTTTTTAATGGCAGAGGGGGAAAAAGAATAAGAGAAAGATACATTTACTCTCATAAATGCAATGACAGTACTTCCATTCTATTTATTTAATTTAGAAGGATAATTCAGATCGTAAAATTAACATGACTCTCTGTTCCATCCCTAAAAACAAACTCATCAAAGTCAAGCTCTTAAACTATGACATCATATTAAGAGACAAATAGCCTTTACTTCCTCTGAATTGTAGTACCTTCACATCTGCTCCTACTCACCTGTTCAACAATACAAGGAATTTCCATCTCAATATACAGGCACTGAAAGTCACCCTAATTACAGAGCTTTAGCAAAGAAGAAGTCATGGGCTGGGAAGGTGGCTCAGTGGTACAGTGCTTGTCTTGCATGCATGAGGTTTGATTCCTCAGCACCACAAAAACAGAAAAAAAAACAGAAGTAGTGCTGTGGCTCAAGTGGTAAGATGCTAGCCTTGAGCTGAAGAGCTGAGGAACAGCACCCAGGCCCAGAGTTCAGGCCCCACAACTGATAAAATGAAAAAAATTAAAAAAAAAAAAAAAGAAAATAAAAGAAGTCAAGGAAGACAGGGCCCAAGAAGCCATAGTAGAAAAGAATGATAAATGATACAGAAGGCAGAGATTTTTACAACTATAGCTTGTAAGCAGTATTGCCTTAGCTTTCTCCAAAGAGGAGCAGAGACACATTTCAAAGTGTCTGCTAAATACAGGCCCGGAGGAAATGCTGAAAGGCCATAAACCCTAAGTCATAAAAGAAAAGCACTGAATCTAGACCAAGGAGAAATAAACAGGCGAGAAGTGCCTCCTTTTTAAGGCTGAATATTATCTTTAATAAAACACAAATGTACACACAGCTTATTGTACTGGGAGAACAGAATGATCCTGAAAAGTTCCGTATTAGCAAGAGATAGTCATTGAAAATTAATGTCGCTATGATTATTTTAATCGTATAAAATATTGTTATATCTTTTTCCTCTTTTTTTGTTGTTGGTGGTGAAAGAAAACCTGCATACAAGTGCTGTCACATGTATTTGCCTGCCACAAGTGTCCAACTGAGTGTTTTGCAAAGAGTTTCATAGGAAATGACTAGAAACATGCCCTACTGTTTAAAAGGCCTTCGGAATTACAAACCATTTTTAAATTATTTTTTTGGCATGTTTTCCTCAACCTTAGGTTTTATTTGGTTTTGTTTGGTTTTAGCTGCCAATATAAAGTCTTAAATTCTCTGAGAATCTTCCCTCAACCCAATCCAAGGGCAATGCCTTTCAGAGTGTGGACTCAGTATACAAATGAAGAAACCATTAACTTAATAGTACAATTATCGCTGGGTGCCAGTGACTCAAGCCTATAATCCTAGCTACTCAGGAGGCTGAGATCTGAGGATCGAGGTTCAAAGTCAGTCCATACAGGAAAGTCTGTGAGACTCTTATCTCCAATAAACCACCAGAAAAACCAGAAGTGGTGCTGTGGCTCAAGTGGTAGAGTGCTCGCCTTGAGCTGAAGAGCTGAGGGACAGCGCCCAGGCCCAGAGTTCAAGCCCCACAACAGACCAAAAAATAAATAAATAAATTACAATTATCTCATGATTTTTAAGACAACATTAATGGACTCCAGACTAGTGTCCAGCTATTAAATTATGGTATCTCGGGGCTGGGAATGTGGCTCAGTGGTAGAGTGCTTGCCTTGCATGCCTGAGGCCCTGGGTTCGATTCCTCAGCACCACATAAGCAAAAAGAAAAAAGCCTGAAGTGGCACTGTGGCTCAAGTGGTTGAGCGCTAGCCTTGTGCTGAAGAGCTGAGGGACGGCACCCAGGCCCAGAGTTCAGGCCCCATGACCAGACCAAAAAATAAATAAAAATAAAAAATAAATTACGGCATCTCATTATTGTCCACTGGTTG